CTATGTGAAAAAGAAGCAAAAACCAATTACATTTCAGAAGAAATTACAGCTCCATAAGACATATGCATAAAAGTTAATGGCGGATGTAAATGTCTTACCGATTACACTGGTTGCTGTTAATCGATTGGCAAACTTGAGCATCACGAACCAGTATGCTAACTTCCATCTGGGATTTTCTATTTGCAACATGGGAGGCCATTGCCGTAGCGAAAGACCCACCTCCAAGCACCACCACCTAAAAATTCAAAGTTACAATACTAAGTGTGCGTTTATGAAATGCTTCTCTAGAAAGCACTTTGGCGAAATTCCTAATAGAAATTCAGGTGCTTCCTAAAAAAGCATTTGAAAGGCTTCCTGAAAGAAGTGCTTCTAACCCAGAAGCACTTTCAATATAAAGTGAAAAATAGAAGCTTTTGCAATTCTGGGAAGCAAAATGCAAAAATTGGGGGAAAAGGGCGGGCACACCTTGTTAGTGCGTTCAAGAACATCGGTCTTGGTCTTGGAGCGCCAGGTCCTGGACCACCGGACCAGCTTCTCCCAGGCCAACCGGACCACCCGGCGGCGGTCCCTGGTCCGCACCAAAGCAGTCTCCGGAACCGGGTCGGGTAATTGGGGTATGGGTTGTTTGGAAGTGGCAGCAGAGCAACAAGGAGTTGTGGCGGCGAGGAGTGTGGGGTGGTTAGGAGGGTTTGTTGGTCTTCCGAGTCTGAGATTGTACGGAAGGGGACGTGTGGAGGTTGAGTTGGGAGGAAGGAGCTGGTTCAGAAACGGCGGTGGTGGCTCTAACAGCGCCGCCATTGTTACGCGGAGAGAGTGAAATATATCCGCAGTCCTTTTTTTCTTTTTATTATATTATTATTCGCGGATAAACTGTATTTTTGGAATGTTCCGTCTTTTCAAAGGGCAAAATGGGGTTTTAGGTCGTTTTGAGTTGTGGCGGAGATATGAGGTGAACTGAGGAGAAAGGTAGGTGCGGAGGGGAAGTCGACGCCAATTGAGGGTGGGAGCGGAGGAGTAGGGTTTGTGGTGGTTGGGAAGGGGTGTGGTGTGTTATTAGTAACAATTTTTGGAGTGAACGTGAAAAATCAATTTTCTCCTAAAATATGCGAGAAAAGAGACACGATTGACAAAATATGCATTAAGTATTAAATCTGAGGAGTGCATAATTACCACTAAATTGAGGGACTTATGTTAATGCTAGGCATTTTTAGGCCCAAACAGTGGGGCTCGCCAAGAAAGGAATCCCATGAAGCCTAATAAGAGATCGCAAAGCCCAAAGCCTAAGGTGCTTAAAAGAGGACAAGCTCGAGCGCAACGATCGACTGTCCCTAAACCTAGCCGACCGGGGAACACAAGAAGGAATACGACCACTGCAAGCGCATGGGCAGACTAACAACTTTAAGACACGAATTCCCAGTGACATATATGTTTAGATGCCAATCATGCCACTCGATGACCACCTTTCAGTGGCAGAGAAGCTTAGGATAAGACATAAAGGCAGTCAGAATGATGCTCAGGTCGGCGAGATTGGATAACCAAGGCCGAGCAGGTGCTCTGTTCATAATATTCTGACAGGACATGGTATCCAAACTGAGCGCCAGTCACTTCACCACTGAATGTCAAAATTGTGTGAGAGAAATGTTGTCAGCACCCTAGGCTACATAGGTGCGCATTAAATGTCAAGTGGGGTGGCTTGAGACTGAGGGGGTTCATTGAATGCCTAAATAAAGGAGTGAAGGCCTCCTAAACCAAGGTCAAACAACTAAAAGGGAGAGAGTATGTTCGTATTTGCCGAGCGCTATTTTAGTCTTGATATCAATAAAAATCCAAGTAACACAGTGGAAGTAGCCTAGTTTCAGGAGTGAACCACTTATATCTCTGAGTCCAAATCATTTCATTCCATCCTTAGAACCTTTTAAGGGCTTATTATCTTAATTTCTTAACTTGCAAATTTTGAGCATTAACAACTTAAACGAATCTCAGTTATTAATTTAGGGACCAATATTACAATTAACCTTAATTATAAACCTCAAAGTGAATTTCTTTCTCATACAGAACTTCCTTTATCATGTTTAGTCTCTAACTTGTGCGTGGTCCAATATCCTAGTGGATAGAGTATGGTTTCCACGCATGCGTTCCAGATTCGAAACTCCCCCTCCCTTAAATTATTGTATGGTTTCGAATTCTTCTCCCTCCCCTCAATAATGGTAAAAATTAAAAAAAAAATGTTTAATCTCTAACTTAATCTTTCCTGAGTTTCCTTTTGCACCTAATGACACCTAATGTGCTAAGATCTAAACATTTTCTCTCCATAGTGGACAGGTTGTCGGGTTTTGCACCCATGCGTGCGTCCTCGATTCGAAACTTCCGTATCTCTTAAATTATTGTACTAGTTTCAAATCTTTCTCATTCCTCTTAATAATAAAATAAAAAATAAAAAAAAATGTTTAATCTCTAGCTTAACCTTTCCTGAGTTTCCTTTTGCACCTAATGGCACTGGTGGTAAGACCTTAAAAATCTCTCTGCATAATGGATAGGGTGGACAAGTTGTTGGGTTTCTACCTATGCGTCCCGGGTTAGAAACTCTCCCTCCCCTAAATATTGTAAAAGTTTTGAACTCTTCTGCCTCCCCTTAACAATAATAAAAATTAAAAAAAAATAATAATTAATTTCTAACTTTATCTTTCCTGAGTTTCCTTTTGCACCTAATGACACCTAATGTGTGAAAACCATAACAATCTGTTGCCATAATACAGATGTAGTTTCTTAATTTAGACTTCTAAACACTTTAGTCCAATAAGGATGTTTGACTCGACAAAGCATTTACCCTTCTCCAATTGATTTCTTCCCCCAGAAAGTGCTTGCTGTAATGGTATTCCAATTTTAATGGAAAATAAATGAAAAGAAAATTACATCACCAATTTGCTAAAATTAATAGCAAAAGATTGAGGAATGCCAACCACGCAAGCAACGCGCAAGAAGAAGTTGGCACCTTCTTGTACAAAAATCAAACCAGCATATTCTTTTGGCTTCTAATTAATCACATCCATCCCATCCATAATTAAAAATATTCATTAATTAATTAAATCCATCCTTTAATTTTGAGCAGCTTCCATTTCAAGACCTTCTAAATCTAATTGCATTGCTAAACATGTTGTGATTAAATCTTTTTCCTCCCTCTCTCTCTCTATCTCCCTCTCTCCCTCTCTCTCTCTCTCTCTCTTCTCTCTTGTCAAACCAAGAGAGAATTGAAGCTCCCCATCACCGACACCAAGAGTTTCTCAAGGTATGCGAAAACAAAAATTGAAAAAAGCTATGAACTTTGATTTGGTTTTCTGTTTTTAAGCAATTGGATCGTCAGTTTTTGGATATACATGCATGAATTGTGGATCTTTTTTTACAGGTGACTGCTAGTTGGTGATGGGAAAGCGTCAACGTCGTGGTGCTCGTTGTGATGGACATGATCACTCTAACAATGGCAGAAAGAAGAGCCCACGAAATCCAAAGAGGACGTGCCGTTGTATTGCATTGTCCTCGATATTTAGAGGGATAGGGAGATGCGTGTTCGTGACATGTTTTCCTGTCATGCAGTGCTTTGGATTGGATGAGTGCCGCCACCGCCACCACCACCATCACCACCACAGACATTTCCATGAGTTTTCATGACCTCAATTGTGTGACTGGTGGAAATGTTTGAGGTTTTGCTGCATCTTTATTTATTTAGTACGTCCCGGATCCTTGTGTAAATAAATATACATGTCAAGGAAAGATCAAGGGTTGGACAAAAGCATGCACGGGTGATTGCGCGTATCTGAGGTTTACTTTCGAGGCCTTGTCTCCGATGAGGAAGTGAATCGCGATGTTTTCCCTGTTATCCTGCAGAAGATGAAGGTTTGGGGTCCTTGGGGAGAAGAACGCATTTAGATAAATAGAAAGTTTGGGATTTGGCATATGTCAAAAGTATACAAAAATCCAAATTCCATCAATTTAGATGCTGCAGTTAGGAGTTTTGATTTGAATATGATTGATTTTGATTGTACATCTAATGGTTCTTTAGCTTTTTCTCTTCAAATTGAAGACGCAAATTATCCAAGAATGATATAGTTCATTGAACTTAGATTAATCTAACCGTCCATTTTTCTTTTCTTTTTATTCATTATATACAATTTGTGTATATAGTCATTTTAGGAACTTGCATGACATTCCTATCAAATAAAAAAGGAACTTGCATGAATTGGTGAGTGATTACTACTTCTGCACACTCATCTTAATTTTAACCGTTGAATCTCCTTTGATTTGTTCAAATTAATGGTTGAAACGAAGACAAGGTGTGTGAAGGTGATATATAATGTGCATAAATTCTTTTCAAAAGTTCAAACAATACGAAAAGCATCAAAGGAGAAGCAAAAGAATAATATCCCTTCTTTTTTTCTTCAAGTCAATTTGATTCTTAATTCCCAAACAAGACGAATATTAATTGGAAGTATTTGTGCCTCGTACAATAATTTAACGGCGGAAATAACAAGTTACAGTAAATTATAATAATGATCTTTTGATTAAAAATTCAGTATTATTAATCCCTCAATTCATTAAAATGTGTAATTATGATCATCTTTGTCAATTTCATCAAAATTTTATCAAAAAGAATTGTTGAAATAACCCTTACTACAATCAGATTAAAATTAAAAGATCATTACTTCAATTGAGTTAAAATTGAAAGACCAATTCTCCAATTCAATTAAAGTTGAAAAATAATTGATAAATTTTTCTTATTTGATTTTCCATATTTGCCCATTGATTTAGCCTCATCTGCATAGCACGTCACATGACTCAGTTTGACAGAAATCCTAAAGAAGTTGACAAAAAAGATCATAGATTCATGTTTTGATGAATTAAAAGATCAATGATAATGAATTTTTAGTTAACAAACCATTGTTTCAATTAAGTTAAAGTTAAAGATCCACTGCTACGATTTAATCTAAGAAGTTATGAGCAAAACAAAACCCAAAAATTAAATATTAGCATTGAAGGAAATTCCTATGTCATGACGAGGAAAACTAAAAAATATCTAACAGTCTAAATCTCCGGTGCATACCATGCTACGTTGCACAAAAACTTAGTAAACTAGTTCTTAGGCTATTTCCAATTTCCTCCAGAAAAAAGGAAAAGGTAATTGTTTTTCTAGCTGCTGCAGTTCATCAAATGATATCTCAATTTCTTCATGTCTGACTGTTTGAGTGGCTTTAGCATGAACATTTGAGCTCCTTCCTCCAAGCACCTGTTTTTAATCAAAAATTAAAACCATAAATAAAAAATAAAAAAAACAAAGGAAATTAACACATAATAATCAGTTCATATTTACTTGTTAATCCGATTCGGTATGTTTTCAGACGACATAATCACCACTGGAACTTCCTTCATGATTGATGATTCCTGCTTGCAGAAGGGTAAAAAAATTAAAAAGCACGATTATATATTTAACCATATTAAATGCTAAAAAATTATCAAAAAATCTGCACAACCTTGATTTTCTTGAGCAGTTCATAGCCTGTCATTCCTGGCATACAATAGTCAGTAATTACCAGATTTACCTTTGAGTTTGAGACCTGCAGGTAAGAACAAGACCCTTCTCCCTTCTCAGTATAAAGCTTAAATGTTGAATTAATACGATGGATCAGTGGTAATTACTAATTAGTTACTCACATTACTCTCCAAGCTATTGTGTTGATCTCCCAAGCCCAAAAACTCCAATGCACTTGCCCCATTTTCTGCAGTTGTCACTGCTCCAAATAGGAGTAATAATTATCATTTTTTTTACTGTATTATTTTACCAAGCAAAAATAGACTGTTTTCCACATACTTTATTTCCATTAAACAGCTTTCTATTAATTTAATTCACCATGATAAAGTCTTCTTAATCTTTATATTAAGCGCTAAATATGGCGTTTCAGCAAAAATGAGTGTAAAAATCACTACCATTTATTTTCAAGTAAATTAGCATGAGAATATAGTGGCAAATAAGAAAAAGAAAAAAAGAAGAGGGTTGTGGAGGATTCGAGCAGACAGATTGTTACCTTTGCAAGACAAATTTGTGAGCAGCTTTTCAATCAGTTTTCGGTCGACGAGACTGTCATCGACGGCTAAAACATGGGGTTGCTCCACATTTGCCATGAAACCCTTTGAGGAGGAAGAAGAAGCAGCCTCCATATTTCTTAAAACCCTAGAAATAATAACCCTCTCCCTCTCTCACCCACCAACTTCGAATAATAATAGCCAAATGAACGCAAAGACGCAAGTGCAGAAAGAAAAGGAAAGAAAAAGAAAGAAAGAGAGAGAGAAAGAGACTTGTAATAAACGCAGTTGCAGTAAAAGACACGATTTAATTTCACAAGATAAACGACTTGTCTGAGTCCGACAGTAACAATTTAGCATATGGGGATGCAATTCATACAGTAAAACATAAAACAAAACAAACTCATGGAAAATGAATGAACAACATGTAATGTGGATTCTGGAAGGCCGGATTTTTGTATTTATATATAGACAATAGAGATATGCTGCCGAGTAAATGCACATGCAGATATGCTGCTAGTAAATCCAAGAGAGAGAACTGAATCAAATCAAAGGTAGAAACCCAACGAAGATCACGATATACCTGTGACTTGGGATATTTATTATCTTCTCTCTCCGTGTGCAGAGAAAATTTGTAGGTATCAGAATTCAGAAATCTGCATGGATACTGCTGCTGAATTACGTCAGTTGATTCATTTTGTAGCGGCTGCTGATACAATAATAACCATTACCTCATTATTACTTTTTTTTTCAACCTTGTGACATAAATTCATAATTTTAAAATTAAAAATTTATGGATATAGCTTAAATATTACGTAACTTTCAATGTTTTAACTGTTATATTTTATAATTAGTACATCTTTTATTTTCAATGTCATCCACTCATTTTCTGTAGTACTCAATTATATATTTATAAAAAATGAGTTTCATCTTTTGTATTTCTAAATCGTGATTTTTATATTATCTATTTTAATCGCAAAATTCTATTTAGGGAAAAACATCAACTAATGCTCTATGAAAACTTCGATTAGTGGTTTTCATGTGGCTTTAAAAAGAACTTATTAGTTTGAATTGAGTAATAGAAAATTGTTCGATCAAATATGTGTTAATGTTAAGTTATTAACTATGCTCAATAAGAATTGAACAAACTTAAGTGAATAATCCGACGTCATCGGTCTTTGCGTCCAAATTTAAATCTACTTTCACAATTAGAATATCATGGATTGGATTGAAACACACCAAAAGTGGTGGTTGAAAAAATATGGTCAAAGTGGGGAGGAGTGGAGTTACCACAACACCATCACCACACGTCTAAGAGATCCGAATCCCATCTGTTTTCTGACAGTGGGAAAAGATCTAATTAGTATCTCTTGGCGCAGAATCCATACATCCAAATCCAATACATACATAGTACATACGTAATGCTAAACAATACAAAGAACAAACATAAATCCACAGAATCTTTGTCATGTCTTCTTCTCTGAGTCACTTTCTTTGTTTTTTTCTACTAAATACGAACAACAACAGATAATTTGCACGGACCAAATAGTGAGACTTCAGTACGTTACAATCATGTTTTGGTCATTTCCAACTCATACAACAATTATCTGAATCATTAGTTAAGTGTTCTTGTTTGAACTGTAAAATCAATGAACAACGTAACTATTACGTAAAATGAATTCATCATAATTTTTTTAACCATCAACGGAGACTTGTTTTCAAAATTATTTGGTGGACGAGGGTAAAGAGTTTGAACCTGAAAATTACAATTTACAAAGCATACGGTAGCATTTTTTTTCTTGGTGAAGAAAGCATACAGTACAATTTTAAGAACAAGATTACAGACAAGACTGGTATATCTGTATCTATCTCGGACAACTTGCTGGGGTACTGAGGTTGACTTATCCATTACTGTTTGGTCAACTTTGTTATGCTGGCTGGCTTTATGGAAAAGCGTGACTATTAACTACCTCAGTGTCATTAGTACCCTTGTATCTTAATTCAAATCCTCTCCGGATATTGTGGTCCTAAGCTCATGGACTGCATAATTCAGAATTTCAGGCCGTTCAAGAGAGGAGGGAAAGAGATCCCGATTCTTAATTTTCATTAGGTAAGTATAATGGACTAATGAAAATTGTAAGATTTGAAATAAGCGGTCTAAATTGCTTAGTTTATCAACTTCAAACTGCGAGATTCAGATAGAATCTCATTCCTCTTGTCCTAATGAGGGTAAAACTTGCCTACACTTTTTTCTACTTCTGTTTCATAAAACGGTCCCCCACACATACGCTTATTTGCTAGCAAACTGAAAACAAATGCATTTAAGTTTTTCTTGTTATCTCGCCAACTAATTTTAAAATGGCACATTGGTAGTTAATCTTCGAGATTTGGATCCCATTTGGATCCAAATTGTAGGAATCCTAAAGATCTCATATTTTAACTATTTATCTTACATCGTAAGGTTAAAAATCATTTAAATTTTATTATTTAAAACTAAACATAAATAGTAACTAACGAAAATTGACAACACGATATACGATGATCGGCTAAAATATGAGGATTCTTGGGATCCCCAAAAAAAGGAGGATCCTCATGCTAATCTTCGAATTCAAATTGATCACGTCAAACCATTTGACATAATAGTATAAGCGACCCTAAACAATTTTCTTTACCAAAAACGAAATACGAAACTGTAATTCCATAATATATCTTGACATCAAATAAGTTGAACTACATGGTGAGCGAGATCCTTCCTTGAAAAGTGAGAGTTACATTGGTTGTAAGGGCAAGATACGATCATTTGATAGTTCCCTTGGGGATGGATGATGTACAAGGCCCGGCCGAGGTCATAAACGGGATACCCCTGAAGGTAGCCACACCCTTATCGTCAGTGAAAAGATTCTGCAACGATGAAACACACACAAGATTTATGTGCCTAACTTCAACTTGGAGCATCATAAATGCAATGCCGTATAGACAGTTAATGCATAATTGATGAGATAGTGACTGTTCTGGTCAAATCGCCACAACTGTAATAACTGTCAATGCCTCCGTAAAACTATATCATAATTGCCAATACATAAAGAAACACAAGCACATATTCACAATCGATAGAGGCCTATCAACCAATTGGTTCCTGTAAGGATTGGGACAACCCCAACCACCCCCAGTAGGGCCCATCCCCTTCCATCTCGTCCTGTCACATTCTCTATTTTGTCTTTCTCTTTCTATAAAAAATTAATATAAGATGTTGATGTAGCTTAACTGTGACCATTCAAATAGTAGGGAAGAGAAGGGGAGGGAAAAAAAGAGGAGTGAGAATCCTACTCCCCCCAGTAGGGCCAGTGCCTCACAATTTTCATGTGAACTTTTTAATGGTTAGCCAAGCAGTAACTTGTGAAGTACAAGTTTGCATTTAAGTTATGAACAGTGAATAAATTAGGCAGCACATGTATGGTTTTCCCCGAATGCACTAAGAAGATCCACAAACTGAGAAAAAAACAGAACATACCGGTGTGATCTTGTCCAGCTGTTTCTTTTTTGGGTTCAGCACATCTTCTGGCTTTCCATCAACCCTGGATAGGAAGAAGCGGATGTCAAGATAAGTTTACTAATGAAAATGTCTGGTTTAAGCTCCAAGTAGTTTCAGGTAACTCACCCAGAAAATGATACACGTTCCCCCAGTTTGGCTCCTTGTGGAGGTAGCAAGGGCTCTACTAGGGTGTGATCTTCACTAGAAGCACATAGCACCTGCCCACATGCACACAAATAAAACTCATACCTTGTATGTTTGTTTACCAGAAGTTAATTTTAGAAAAACTTAGCTTTCGCTAAAAAAGGACTCTCCATAAGCTTTGATCATATAGAACAAATTTGGAAGCTTATACTAGAGAACAGTGGGATTATTAATGTTTCCTAAGGAATGGATGGAAAATTAAATATTTTGAGCACAAGAGATGAAAACAAAAACAAAAATTTGATTACTAGCTAAGCAGTGAAGGAGTCAACAAGACCTAACTAACTCATCAGCGAGAATAATGAGTTAAATGACAAGAAACACATACCAGTCCTTGTGACATCACATCCCGTAATTTCCCAGGTTTCACATTCGTAACCAGCACAACATGACGGTTCTGCGTAGTTGCATGCACCAAACAGATACATCAGAGTTTAAGTGTGAATGTTCATCTGTGTAACAACTATGAAAATAACAAAATAGACATGCAAAAGATTATGTGAAAAAACTATCTAGTTCCAAATATCAAGGAGTAATCATACTGTTAACTCCTCTGGACTGATATATTTTGCCAAGCCGCTGACCACTTGCCGTAATTTAGCTTCTCCGACATCTATCTCCTCGACCAGTAAACTGTATCAAGTATGAAAACAAGGTTATGAATGATTTCACATCCTCCAAATATACAATAGCATTCAGAGTTCAAACTTCAAGTCAAGACAGCCAGCAGTTCAATCGGTTTTCTAATGAATCAATGGGCACATAGAGGAAAAGAAAGAGAAAAATGTTGCCCGCACACCTATCAGCAGACGGATGCTTCCAAGCTTTGCGCACGAGGCCAACCTGTATATTCAATAAACTGACACTAACTTCTTTGTCTTTCTCAACTGCCTCTGTTTCTGGTGATTTTGTCTTCTCATTAGTAGCTTTTTTATCTGCTTTCTTATCCAACGTAACTTTCTCTTCCCCTGCAGCCTTTACCTAACAATTCCAATGAAAAAAAGTCATCAGAAAAGAACAGTATAGGAAGGAAATCTAAAAGTAGAAGCTTTGTTCGGACTATAGTAGTTTACAGCACAAATCCAACCATCGATTCACTAAGGAGGTTGACCAGATATAGTGTTGGTCAACTAGTTGATTAAGCGCAATATGGTTATTCCTGGTTATATTGGAAATAGAGCAAAAGAAACAGTAGAGAGATGTCTATATAATACAGCTCAAGTAGTTTTGTGCAGATATCTAACAAAGCAGTATGGGAACTGTTCGTAAAATAGGTTAAAGAACTGAGGCAGTGGATAGCCATAATTATATAACTAGCTACTTGGCATTCAGATGAGGAACAGCTTATGGTGATTTAAACTTGGAAGTCAGTGCATGAGCCTACTCTACTACACTGTTTGGTACTGTCAATCATTCTACAATTATATGCTTTTTTCTAGGAAGAAATTACATGAATTCAGCATTGTCGGAAATCCAAAGCATAAAGATATCCTAAAAAAAGGGAAGTCTTGTTATATAAGTTAGATAACTATTCAAATTATCTTATCAAATGAATTCAGCATTATACGAATATATGCATGTAGGTACAGCCGTAAAATTTATAACTAACTTGTATCTCAGTAAGATTATTTAATTTGTACTGAAGGAACAGGTGTAAATTTAATAGGATGTACCCCAGCATCACTTTTCTTTGTGTTCAGGTCTGCCCCTGGTTTGTCTGCGGTTTTTGTGCTTTGGACAGTCTTCTTTGCATTTGAACCAATTTCCATCTTACCCGCACTTTTTGCTCCCAGCAAATCATCCAACTCCTGCATACATAATGATCAAGGGATACAGTGTAACATAAGTCCACTTTGTGATTCACAAGAAAACATTTTTTACTATCGTTTCAACATTTAATATTTCCCTTCTATTGCAATAGCAGGTTCAGAGATGCATAACTGAAATTGAGATTCCAAATAAAATAGTAGATTTTACTTACTCGAAAATCAAATATATCCTTCTCTACCACTATCTTCTCAAGTACGTCTCCGAAATCCACCTTGTTCTGGAGAAGAAAGTTGTGAGCATTAGTAACTATGACATTTCTGAAAGCTACACGTGGAAACAATAATAACAAGTAGCTCACGTTTCTACATCCAATGACACAAGTTTGTAACCACATGGTACTTCATTCCAAGATTGAACCTTTATTAAACCTCTGAATTAAAGATAGCAGCACTACTCAGAACATGGAGGCGTACCTGGATGTAATCCACCCATCTCAACAAATGCGGCAACTTTTGCCTATCTGTATTTGAAAGACCAATCTGCAGACAAACCACTCAACAAATGACCACAATTTCAAGCGCCATTTCTACCACATTGCATCAAAATGTTCATGTCCGAATTCAAAAACAATCCAAGAAAAACTAACATGAAAATATTGCAGTTCTAAAGCGAAAATATCAAGAGAATTACAAATTGCAAAGTATTGAGAAATGTGAAACACGATCGAAATCGTGCATGTAGAAGAATCCATACCACAGAAGAATGCACTGCAGAAAACACAACAGCATCAGCTTCAGAAGGTGTGAACCCATTGCCCAAAAGCACTGAAACGTCAGCCAAGGTTTCGTTCAACCCTTCGAGAGCTGCAGAGCATGCCTGGGAATCTGTAGGAAAACCCTCTGCATATCCCACCCAAATCACCACCTACAACCCCCAGAACACAAACTTTTAGTTACATAAAAGTTACCAGGAATCCAATTCAACTAAGTTTTGAGGCAATAAAACTGTAGAACCTTACCCCATCGTTCACTTGCGCTGCGGCACCGTTTTTGGCTGATTTCAGTACCGTTGAGTACAAGCTCGTGATTTCATCGCCAGCGATGTTTTCCGGCAACGATTTCTGCAGATACCGAGCTCAAAATATGAGCAATCGAAGTGGAAGGAAAGATAAAATATGAAAAATTTGAGAGAGATGAAGTTTCTTACAGGATCGAGAGAGAAGTGTTTGCAGAGAGCTGATAGAATCAATTGCTTTCTGCTTACGCTGGTACTTCCCTTGGCTGCCATCTCTTTCCTTCAGAAACCAGAGCTCCACAGTTTCTCAGTTCAGAGATGAGTGGGCAGTTCAATTGGGAGATGTATGGTTTTTGGTTTTTGCATGATTTGGGCTTCTTAGTTTGGGCTTCTTAGGAGAAAAATGAAGCCCAAATTGCCCATGAGAGGATGAATCAAGTGAATCTTGGGCTTTGTAAAGCATTGTTGTCGAAGTGCTTTTAAAATAACTGAAAACATTTTTAAAGAATATGTTTTGGGCTCCAAAAGCACTTGAAGTGCTTTCTGTAAAAGCGCCAGTTATGTTAATCTTGCGGGAGACACTTCAAGCTCTTTTTCATGATTCACTTAAATTTTTACTAAGGATTGATTCCAATAACATTTTCACCAAAAACATTTTCAGTATTTTTAAATGCACCTTCAAAGTAGCCCTTATTTAATTAGCTAGAGGAATTTTTCAATTGACCGTCACAATGACTGGTCCTGTTATTAATCCGCTTATATTATAAAAATATGTATGTCTATTTATGCATATCTTAATGGAGGCCTGAAAGGCTAAAATGTTAATGACATCATTCATCTATATTATGTCATATAGTTTTATACTCTTGATCTACTGCACATGATTATTTGAAAACTATTTAGCTATTGGTCTTGCAGCGGCATCTTGATAGCACCGAGAACGGTAAAAAAATTCTAAAGAATAAAAAAAAAATAGAAAATTTGGATTTATGTCCAATGGATCACATTCATGAAGAAAATGTATTTTGTTTTGGTTTGACCCGTAATCATATACAAAATAGTGAATGGTATAAATTTAACAACACTTTTCCCCCCTCTCGGATTTGGAAAAGGATCCTCGCTAGATCCTTCTCCTAGGATTCTGAGGATCCTATGATCGTGATCGGTCATCATATATCATGAGGTCATTTTTTGTTAGCTACTATTTATATTTAATTTTAAATTGAAAATAATTTATGGCCGTATGAGATACGATAAACGATCATGATCACGGGATCTTAAGAAAAAGGATCCGACAAGAATCCTTTTTCCTCGAACTTACTGCGGAAAAAGAATAATCTAGAACTTAGACGTTATTATAATATGGACATTTGGATTGAAAAATGAGGACCTATATCCTCTAAAGTCTCATAATTGGGATGAACGTGCATGACTTTGCAAGTAACATTTTCTTTGATAATGACATAATTGACATTTGCATGTAAACACACTAATCACAACTATATGTCAGTTTTCGTCGAGACCGGTCCGTTTCTCCGTCTCTGTATTTCTTTCGCTCTCTTACTGAATTGAACAAATCAAACCGGTTATATTATTTGACTTAACTTTCGTTTTTAAGAGCCAATCAAACTGAACCCGACGGTACTCATCCCAAGTTCATATAGAAAAGATTCAAACAATAATCAACTATGGAAGAGATTTTTCAATGTGATCGGAACACGGGGTGGTACACTATGTGTCACTATACAAATGATAGGATATGTACGTTAAAAAATTAATAATTTAAAAATACAATTTCCACCATTTATATCAAAACACGTAGTGTACCACCCGTGTTTTGGTCACAATAAAAAATTTCTCGACTATAAATTATGGAGAGTCCGTCAACTAAAAAATTCAAAAACACTGATCCCATTCGTGCATTGTCTTGTTCTTGTTAGTTTTTCCCTCCTCCATCCAAGGCCGCCGGTATTTTTCTGGTCGAAAATTTGTGTCGAGTAGGGCACATACTGATTGGCCAATAAACATAAAAGCACACCACAGAAAAAGCAAGTTAAAAACTCGAATGTAAATTGCAGAAGACGCATAACCTGGACCATGTCGTTTTACTGTTTTACTTGGGATAAGAGAAAAAGGTCAAAAAATAAAAATAAAAATATCAAATAATAAAGTCAGATAACGAAAATGGATATGCAACTGGCACAGTGAGAGGAATTTGGATCCCTTTTAGATCTGTGTCCACATATTGAGAAATATGAACCGTTTAAGAGAAATAACGTATTTTCGTCCATTCAAGTTTTGGATTTTTATAAAGTAGATTAGTATAATGGGCTAATAAAGGACGTATGATTGAAATTAAGTTATTCAAATTTCTCGGATTACAAGTTCTAAACACAAAAATTTGAAGTAGATCTCGTGATAATAGTCCTTCCCCTCTTTTTTCCTTTTTGAGAAATTCACAACCACTTAAACAAAAAATGCCCTAGTGAAACTTTAGGGTTAGGGTTTTTGGGCAATAGTGCTTGCCATTTAGTCACCACATGTTCATTTCTTACCTTAATTTTTTTTTCTAGCAATTTATAACTGGAAAAATGGTCAGTTTAACTGTCATTACATACATGTATTTACCCACAGAAGTATTGGGATTTAATTATGTGTACTAAATTACTAATAAATAAATCATTGCATTAATAAAAAAAATTAGGGTTTGTTGATGAGGAGAGGAACAAAGATCAATTTACAGTTTGGTGTAGCAGTGAGTGGAGACAGCAGCAGCTGCTGGGGAAAGTGCTTGACAGCATGAAATTTGTAGTGCAGAATGGACTCATTCTTTTGGTACTATGGTAACCTCCAAACTGTCACAACCATAAAATGGTGAGCAATAAGCGTCAATGCATAAAGACAACACAAAATGCTACTCCAATCCCAAAACTTCACAACCCTATCAATCCATAGTCCATCCCCTTTCAAATAGAATTTTGAATGTCGATAAGAGCATCCCAATGAAGGATTCTATATGGGGCTAGAAAAATGATGAAATAGCTCATTTTAGAGTTCTGAGGAATTTTTTGGGCTTTATAAAAGAATCTCTTCCAATTAGGTGTGACAACCCGTTCCAAATTTTACGTTTTTATTTTATTTTAAAAGCGTGAAATTACGAAATTGCCCTAGAGGCAAGGACTTTGACTTCCGTTGACCATCGACTTGAAAGATGTGGGACTTATTCTTTTAGCATATCCTCGTAGTACTCATTGGTACGAACGTATAGGCGAAAGTCGTTTGCGAGTCCGGATTATAACGGTATAGTTACGGACGTTCGAAATTGGTTATTCAAGGTGAGTGTTTATTTAAATTAAATGGAAGCCCAATCAGAAAAAAAAAAAAAAAAAAAAAAAAAAAAAAAAAAAAAAAAAAAAAAAAAAAAAAAAAAAAAAAAGAGGGAAAAAGGCTTCCCGTGCACCCATACCCGCACCACCGCGAGGCCATATTCCAAGGCCGATTCCGGCCAACTCCGGTGGAGTTTTTCGATGCCACCACCACCATTTTGAAGCTCTCATTCCCCTCTACAAAACCCACCCAAGAACCACCTTGATTGACCACGGGATGTGGAGGTTTGAGGCCACGAAAGTTGACGAAAATCAATGGTACTCCGGCCACCCTTCTCCATTTTCCGGCAAATCGGCAAAGCGATGGCCGATGCCACCACTTGGGCTTTGTAGCCCATCATCCCAGGAGCAAAACCCAACCAACCTTGACCCCGTTGGACCACCGTAGACGACGAATCGACGTCGGGAAGTTTTAGGCACCCGCCGGCTTCGTGGGCAAAATTGACCATCTTCCGTCCACTTTTGGACTTCGTGGCAGGTATGAAAGTTGCTCCACTCACTGAGATATTCATTTCTGTGAAGTTTGATAATTTTTGGAATTTGTTGGATTTTCCGGCGAGTCGGGGCGGCCGACCGCCACCCGCGGCGGCGCGTGCGGCGGCGCGTGGCCGGTGAGCCGCCAATGCTATTTTTAGGCTATGTCGAATGTTTTGAATTCAGTTTTGTCATTCGAATGACGTAGGTTGATCGTTGGAACCTAAATTCGTTATAATACGCTACTTGATAAAAATGTGAATCGATGATCCGACCGTTGGATCGTCACCAAAATTGGATACATTATAATACGTAATATTTAAAGATCATAGGAATTTACGGATCGGGAATCCGACTTACGGATCTTCCTGAATTGGATTTGTAAGTTAGTAAAATAAATGTTCACGGCCACTTGTTTTAGGCAATTGGCGAAGATCTGACCGTTGGATCGTAATGAAATTTTAAGATGTTATTCTAGAAACATATTGTGGATCATTGGAAGTTGCAGATTGGAAATCTGATATGCGGATCTTCCGGGTCAGGTTATACAGGGTTGTAAACCCTACCGTCGATCCTTGATCGACGGTTGACTTGTGGTCAATAGGTCTCAACCTATTTTAGAATGTCGTTGAGGTTGTGTTTTATGTGAATTGCATATTCTTCAGATAAGAGTTCTGAGATGTGATTTGATAATTGGCCACAGGGACCGATCATTCAGGACGCCTCGATGCGCGTGCTAGAGTAGTATAGCGTGGACTTCAGGTGAGTGGATCTTTTCCTTTTTATTGTGCATATTATTGAGAGTTCTATCGACACCTTTAAATTGATTAGGCATATTACTTTCATATATAATTATTGTGAATGCTTGAAGTACAATGTGAACTACGAATGGCTTGATCCCTGTTTAGGGTACGTAGGCAGTCTAACGAGACGTTAGATGCAGCCATAAAATATTTGAGACAAAAGCCTTGCTTGGGAAATTGAGTAATGCGAAGGAAATTGGTAAAGACAAGTTTTAGTTTTGTGAATTAGTTAGTTAAATTAGAGTTAATTGGATTGTTATGGATAATTATTCCTGAAAATAAGTAGTTTGGGAGTATGGCGTTATTGATGGTACACTTCACACCATATTGTTTATAATTGAAAATGCTACGACATGGTTGAGTAGTAGATTGCATCATGATATATCCATGTGTATATTACTTGCTTATAATTATTGAGAATGCTTTCAAGTGCAAAGGTGAACTCAGGACACCCAGGTAAGTTCAGGTGAGTTTATGGTATTAATTGAATCGATTGAGTTATAGCATGACTACAGTGATGAGTTAGGCAACTTCGATACTGTCGTACTGGTTGCCATGTGTTGCACATGTTATGATGAGATATGGATAAGTCGTATAGGTCACTATAGGTGACTCCGACTTATATGCTAGCCATGATTGATGAGATATGGATAAGTCGTATAGGTCACTATAGGTGACTCCGACTTAT